CGTGAAATAGCAAAAAGGAGAAAGAACCAAAAAACAAAAAAAAAAAAAAAAAAAAAAAAAAAAAAAAAAAAAAAAAAAAAAAAAAAAAAAAAGAATAAACGAAATTTATCACAGCGTAACAGTCACTGTGTCCAACGGAAGTGTATAATAAACATAGGACAATAGATTACATTTTTTTTTTATCACCTTGCAGGAAGATGTACATAATTAGGGTTACCGCTTTGGCGGTACTCCTGGTATGCTGTAACACACATGGGAAAAGTATTTTGCGCAAAAGGAAAATTATGTATGGTTCTTCCCATTTGTTAAATACCCCCGATGATGAAACGAGCAAGTACCCGTCCCCGGACAATTTAAAAGTAAAGGAACCGCACAGCAGCAACGAACACGGTGTGTATATCAAGGGTAGCATGAATAATGTGAAGGACGTGAAAAATGGGTCGTTCATTCTTTTAAGTGAGAAGATGAAAGATAGCTCCTCTGACGAGGAGGATGAGGGGGACGATGGCCACGACAATGGTGACCATGGGAATAACAACGACAGTTCACATAACAATGGCGACGACAGCAGCGACAGCGATCACCACGATGAGGCAGACCACGACGAAGGTGAGCACGATCATTCGCACGACGATGACGGGTCCGACGAGAACGGGAACAACAACAATAACAACAACAACAACAATAACAACAACAACAACAATAACAATAATAATAACAATAATAATAACAACAACATGAACGGCAACGGTGCGTCCACGGCCCTTCCTCCTCCACCACCACCTGTGATGCATCACCCCCCACCTCCCCCCTCGACCCCGTCGGGCATCGTGGGGCACGTCGTGTCCAACGTCCTCACCGCTGGATTGAAGTTGTTTGGCGTGCCGTAAGCCCCCTGCATTTGTGACGAAGCGCGTGTGTTGCATGTGCTGTGCCGTGTGTACCTTGTCGCGTGCCTGCTTTAACCATACGACTTTTTTTAAGGTTTTTAATTTTTTTAACAAATCCCGTCGCATGAATATGGCCTTAAAATGACACACACATGAACATGTAAATTCATACGTAACAAAATTGTTGCGATCGTGCTTTCATTTTTGTGAACGCTTCCTCCCCCTTTTGGTGCAAAATTTTGTTCTGTTCGTTTTAAGCTTTATGAGGAGCGAATAGTTGTTTTTCCCTTTGTCACCAACTCGCTAAGTATATGTTGTTTACACGAAGGTGAACAGGGGTTCACATAAAGTGTGCACCCGGTTTAGTTCTGTTCTAAACTGGGGCTTTATATATTTGCGAATGTGTAACGTGCACCCGTGCCGAGCATAGACAGCTGAACAATTATCATTGTGAAACGACAAGGGTGCTTGTACAAATTTGAATTGGATGAAGGACTTGTATTCTAGCGACGGGATACACAACTGTGTGTGACACATGGTTGGAAGGCATTATTTATATGAGCGATTCGCGACAACGTGCTGCACACGGATGTTACCCCTTTCACCTGACGACACACAACTGTGGCCGTGATGTGCGCCTTTTTTTTTTTTTTTTTTTTTTTTGGAGAAAATGTATCTTTCTCTGTTACCCTTTTATTTACCTATTTGTTAACATGATTAGGGTTCAGATACAAATACGGTGCGCTTGCAGCGACGCGACAGCGGCACGTCGTTATTGTTTGTACCCCCAGCACGGTTTTATTTATTTCTTCCACGGCGCGGTGGCTACATGTTAGTGACTGGTCTACCATACCTGAACCTTGTAGCGACGCTTTAACGATGCTGTACAATTTGTGTGGGGGACAAGTGACTTTATAGTTCACTCTGCTGGAGTATACATAATTTGCAGGGGGTCAACGGAGCGACCTGTGAAGGCCCTTCTTTTGGGGACAGCCCAAATGGGATAATTGGCGTGTGCTACGTGGGATTTGGTTGGAACTGCGATACGGAGGTGCAAACGTGCGCAGGTGAGGAGGCACATGTAGGGACAGGCTTACAACACACGCGCACACACACACAGACACAGACGTATGCATAATTGCAGACGCGTCTGACTACACGGGTAGCCTCCCCTTGGAAATGCTTCACCAAAACAACCCAAAAAAAAAAAGGCAAAGGGAAACGAAAGGAACATCGCAAAAGGATATGTGTGAATGTAACGAGGGACATAAGACAATGCTACCAAGCGTCCTTCACATTTGGGCATGGAATTGTCCAATGCACCATGGAACATGCGTGGGCGGCAACAGGAAAAAAAAACAAGGAGTGAACAAGCGCAGAGAACCAGGAGCAATTCACAAGTGGACTATTACGTACACATATGCGGATATGTGTACATTCACAAAACATGTGTCATGTGCTGCAAAAAAAAAAAAAAAAATTCTGCCCTTGGGACAGCCAATATCCATAGCGTGTGTGGGCTGTCACTGTAGTTCGGCGGAAAAAAAAAAAAAAA